GGGGGGGTTCTTATTGATCCCAATCAATCCCAATCGATCGAAATCAACCCAAATCGATCCGCCCCTCCCCCGCAGCCCCCCCGGCGTGGTCCCCACCCCCCTGGCCGAGGCCAGCCGGGCCATGGCCGGGGACACCACCCTGAGCGAGAACTACGCCTTCGCCGGGGTGTTCCACGTGTTCGACCAACACCTCGACAGCGCCGGTACCGCACGGCCGGGATTTCGGGGGATTTTGGGTGATTTCGGGTGATTTCGGGGGGATTTGGGGATTTTTGCATTGATTTTGGGGGGATTTTGGACTGATTTCGGGTGAATTTTGGGTGATTGCAGCATGATTTTGGGGGGATTTGGGGGTAATTATGGTGATTTTTGGGTGATTGTGGTGAATTCAGGGTTATTTTTGGGTGATTTTGTAGTGATTGTGATGATTTTGGGGTGATTATGGTGATTTTGGGGGCATTTTGGATTGATTTCAGGTGATTTTGAGGTGATTGTGGTGATTTCAGAGTTCTTTTGGGGTGGTTTTGGGGGGATTTTGGGGTGATTATGGTGATCTTGGGATTTTGGACTGATTTCAGGTGATCTTGAGGTGATTGTAGTAATTTCTGGGTTATTTTTTGTGTGATTTCAGGGGGATTTTGGGGTGATTGAGGTGATTTTGGGGTGATTTTGGAATGATTTCGGGATGATTTCAGGTGATTTGCGGTGATTTTGGGATGATTTTTGGGTGATTTTGGAGCGATTGTGATGATTTTGGTGATTTCAGGGTGATTTTGGAGTGATTGTGGTAATATTGGGATGATTTTGGAGTGAATTCAGGGTTTCAGGTGGTTTGTGGTGATTTTGGGATGATTTTTGGGTGACTTTGGGATGGTTTTTTTGTGATTTTGGTGATTTCATGGTGATTTTTGGGTGATTTTGGGATGATTTTTTGTGATTTTGTAGTGATTGTGGTGATTTTGGGGTGATTTTTTTGTGATTGTGGTGATTTCAGGTGATTTGCGGTGATTTTGGGATGATTTTTGGGTGCTTTTGGGGTGATTGTGGTGATTTTGGTAACTTCAGGGTGATTTTGGGGTCATTTTTTGTGTGATTATGGTGATTTGCAGGTGATTTTGGTGACTTGGGGGTGGTTGCAGTGATTTTGGAGTAATTATTGGTGTGATTGTGGTGATTTGGGGGTGATTTTGGGGTAATTGTGATTATGGGATAATTTTTGGTGATTTCAGGTGATTATGGTGATTTCAGGTGATTTTAGGATTATTTTGTGGTGATTTTGGGATGATTTTGGAGTGATTTCCGGGTGATTTCAGGTGAATTGGGGTGATTTTGGGATGATTTTTTTGGGTGATTGATTTCAGGGTGATCTCGGGCTGATTTTGAGGTGATTTTTGGGGTGATTTTGGGCTGATTTCAGGTTTATTTGGGGATGATTTCAGGGTGGTTTAAGGTTCATTTTGGGGTGATTTTTCATGCAATTTCAGGGTGATTTTAGACTGATTTCAGGGTGATTTTGGGCTGATTTCAGGGTGATTTTGGGCTGATTTCAGGGTGATTTTTGAGGCGAGTTCAGGTTGATTTCAGGCTGATTTCAGACTGATTTTTGCTATGATTTTGGGCTGATTTCAGAGTGATTTCGGGTTGATTTCAGGCTGATTTCAGACTGATTTCAGGTTGATTTTTTTTGCTATGATTTCAGGTTGATTTTAGGCCGATTTCACACTGATTTCAGGCTGATTTGGGGCTGATTTTTGCTATGATCTCAGGCTGATTTTTGCTATGATCTCAGGCTGATTTTTGCTATGATTTCACACTGATTCCAGGCTGATTTCAGTCTCTCTCCCCTCCACAGTGCACAAGGTGCAGTTTGCCCATGACAAGGGGTTTGGGGTGTTCCCCAATTTTAGGTGATTTTGGGATGGTTTTGGGCTGATTTCAGGCCAATTTTAGGGTAATTTCAGGCTGATTTCGGGCTGATTTCAGGCTGATTTTTGCTATGATTTCAGGTTGATTTCAGGGTGATTTTGGGCTGATTTCAGGGTGAGTTTTGCTATGATTCCAGGTTGATTTCAGGCTGGTTTTTGCTATGATTTCAGACTGATTTCAGGATGATTTCAGATTGATTCCAGGCTGATTTCAGGATGATTTTAGACTGATTTCAGGATGATTTTAGGCTGATTTCAGGATGATTTCAGACTGATTCCAGGCTAAATCTAGGCTGATTTCAGGGTGGTTTTTGGGGTGATTTCAGGCTGATTTTTGCTATGATTTCAGGCTGATTTCAAGTTGATTTCGGGCTGATTTCAGGGTAATTTCAGGTTGATTTTGGGCTGATTTCAGGCTGATTTTTGCTATGATTTCAGGTTGATTTTAGGTTGATTTCAGACTGATTTCAGGCTGATTTCAGGGTGGTTTTTGCTATAATTTTAGACTGATTTCAGGCTGATTCAGGACTGATTTCAGTCTGATTTTTGCTATAATTTCACACTGATTCCAGTGTGATTCCAGACTGATTCCAGACTGATTCCAGACTGATTCCAGACTGATTCCAGACTGATTTCCAGCAGATTTCAGGCTGATTTTTGTTATGATTTCACACTGATTTTTGTTATGATTTCACACTGATTTTTGCTATGATTTCACACTGATTCCAGTCTGATTCCACTCTCTCCCTCGGCAGTGCGCAAGGTGCAGTTTGCCCACGACGAGCGGCACCTCCTGGCCTGCTGCTCCCTGGACGGGACTCTCTCCGTTTGCTGCTTGGCCCCCGGGCCCCCGGCCGTGCTGCGGCGCCTGCGGGGCCACGGCGCCGGCGTCTCCGACTTCGCCTGGTCCCTGTCCAACGACGTCCTGGTGTCGGCATCGCTGGACGCCACCCTGCGCCTCTGGGACCCCTCGGACGGGCGCTGCATCCGCAGAGTGGCCGATCCCGACGGGGCGCCGCTGCTGTGCTGTGCATTCCAGCCGTTGAATAATAACCTCACTGTGGTGAGAGACCCCAAAATACCACAAAAATCATCCCAAAAACCACCCCAAAATCACCCCAAAAAATCCCCAAAACCATCTCCAAAAACATCCCCCAAACCCGATCCTGACGGGGCGCCGCTGCTGTGCTGTGCTTTCCAACCGCTGAATAATAACCTCACCGTGGTGAGAGACCCCGAAATCCATCCCAAAATACCCCAAAATACCCCTAAAAATATTCCTCTAAACCCCAACGGGGCGCCGCTGCTGTTCTGTGCTTTCCAGCCGCTCAATAATAACCTCACCGTGGTGAGAGACCCCGAAATCCATCCCAAAATACCCCAAAATACCCTAAAAATATCCCTCTAAACCCCAACGGGGCGCCGCTGCTGTTCTGTGCTTTCCAGCCGCTCAATAATAACCTTACTGTGGTGAGAGACCCCGAAATCCATCCCAAAATACCCTGAAAAATCCCCAAAACTGCCCCAAAATCCCAGCATCTTATAGAGCTCCCAAATATCCCCCAAATCCGACCCCGACGGGCGCCGCTGCTGTGCTGTGCATTCCAGCCGCTCAATAATAACCTCACTGTGGTGAGAAATACCAAAAACCCCCTAAAATAGCCCAAAATATCCCCAAAAACATCCACCAAATCCGATCCCGACGGGCGCCGCTGCTGTGCTGCACTTTCCAGCCGCTGAATAATAACCTCATCGTGGTGAGAGACCCCAAAATCCATCCCAAAATACCTCAAAAAATGCCCAAAACCATCCCCAAAAAAATCCCCCAAATCTGACCCCAACGGGGCGCCGCTGCTGTGCTGTGCATTCCAACCACTGAATAATAACCTTACTGTGGTGAGAAAAATCCTAAAAACCCTAAAAATCATCCATAAAAATCCCCAAAACTATCCCCAAAAAAATCCCCCAAATCCGATCCCGACGGGCGCCGCTGCTGTGCTGTGCATTCCAGCCGCTGAATAACAACCTTACTGTGGTGAGAAAAATACCAAAAATCCCTGAAATACCCCAAAAACATCCCCAAAATCCCCAAAATCGGCATGGCTGACCTCGACGGGGCGCCGCTGCTGTGCTGTGCTTTCCAGCAGCTGAATAATAACCTCACCGTGGTGAGAGACCCCGAAATCCATCCCAAAATACCCCGAAAAATCCCCTAAAATACTCCATAACCTTCCATAAAATACCCCAAAACCATCCCCTAAACCCGACCCCAACGGGCGCCGCTGCTGTGCTGTGCATTCCAGCCGCTCAATAATAACCTCACCATGGTGAGAGAAATCCCAAAAGCCCCAAAAATCATCCCAAAAAATCCCAAAAAATATCCCCTAAAATCACCTCATAATACTCCAAAAATAACCCCCGAAAAACCCCATAAAATACCCCAAAACCATCCCCTAAACCCGACCCCAACGGGCGCCGCTGCTGTGCTGTGCATTCCAGCCGCTCAATAATAACCTCACCATGGTGAGAGAAATCCCAAAAGCCCCAAAAATCATCCCAAAAAATCCCAAAAAATATCCCCTAAAATCACCTCATAACACTCCAAAAATAACCCCCGAAAAACCCCATAAAATACCCCAAAAACATCCCCCCAAAACTGCCTCAAAATACCCAAAAACAACCCCCCAAAAACGCCTCAAAATACCCAAAAAGTATCTTCTAAAGCCACCACAAAATACCCTAAAAATATTCTCCCAAAATCCCATAAAATATGCTGAAAATATCCCCAAAACACCCCAAAACCACCTCAGAATACCTCCAAAACCACCCTAAAATACCCCAAAACCCCACAGAAATCCCTGAGGTGCCCCCAGCGCCCCCCACTCCACCTGTCCTGGGTGATCACATGAAAAGGAACCGGGGTCAGGGTGGGTTTTGGGGCATTTGGGGTGGATTTTGGGGTGGGTTTTTGGGGTCTCAGGATGGATTTGGGGTGGATTTTGGGGATCTCAGGGTGGATTTCTATGGGTTTGGTGGATTTTGGGGTCTCAGGGTGATCCCGATGTCCCCCCAGGTGGGCAGTGCCCGGCACATGGTGCGAGTGGTGAACACAACGGGGATTTGGGTGTGTTTGGGTTATTTTGGGGTGAATTTTGATGTGTTTGGGTTATTTTGGGGGTCTCAGGATGGATTTGGGGTGGATTTTGGTGGGTTTGGGTTATTTTGGGGTGGATTTTGGGGGTCTCAGGGTGGATTTTGGGGTCTCAGGGTGATCCCCATCCCCCCAGGTGGGCAGTGCCCGGCACATGGTGCGAGTGGTGAACACAGCGGGGATTTGGGTTATTTTGGGGTGGATTTTGGCGGTTTTGGGGTGGATTTTTGGGGTCTCAGGGATATTTTGGGGGTCCCAGGGATATTTTGGGGTCTCAGGATGGTCTCTGTGCCCCCCAGGTGGGCAGTGCCCGGCACATGGTGCGGGTGGTGAACATCTCCACGGGGAAGGCGGCTCGAGGGGGCACCGGGCAGGGTTTGGGTTATTTTGGAGGGGATTTTGGGGGTCTCAGGATGGATTTGGGTGTGTTTGGGTTATTTTGGTGTGTTTGGGTTATTTTGGGGTGGATTTTGGGGTCTCAGGATGATCCCCATGTCCCCCCAGGTGGGCAGTGCCCGGCACATGGTGCGGGTGGTGAACATCTCCACGGGGAAGGCGGCTCGAGGGGGCACCAGGCAGGGTTTGGGTTATTTTGGGGTGGATTTGGTGGGTTTGGGTTATTTTGGGGTGGATTTTGGGGGTTTTGGGATGGATTTTTGGGGTCTCAGGGATATTTTGGGGGTCCCAGGGATATTTTTGGGGTCTCAGGATGATCCCCATGTCCCCCCAGGTGGGCAGTGCCCGGCACATGGTGCGGGTGGTGAACACAGAGGGGGCACCAGGCAGGGTTTGGGTTATTTTGGGGTGGATTTGGGTGGGTTTGGGTTATTTTGGGGTGGATTTTGGGGTCTCAGGATGGATTTGGGGTGGATTTTGGGGGTCTCAGGGTGGTCTCTGTCCCCCCAGGTGGGCAGTGCCCGGCACATGGTGCGGGTGGTGAACATCTCCACGGGGAAGGCGGCTCGAGGGGGCACCGGGCGCCTCCCCGGGAGGGTCCTCGCCCTTTGCTTCGACGCCCCCGGACGCGTCCTGTGGGCAGGGGACGATCGGGGATCGGTGTCATCCT